AAAAAAAAAAAAAAAAAAAAAAAAAAAAAAGACAGCTGATAATTCAGTCTTTAAGAGTCTTCTTATCTCGTTCTGTTTTTTTTTTTCAATGCCAGACCTTTTCGAATTCGAAGTCGGGATTTATGACCGAGATTCAACAGATGGTCAATGAGTGGCCTGCACAAGTTAGGAAACACCAAAAAGAAGCTCACCAGGAGGTCTAATATTTTTACTCATGATATATTCATTTGCTTCATTATTCGTAGAAAACATGCTAACATTTACACCATGTTCGGTTTCTCAGGAATTTGATGCAGATCTTAAATCATATATTTCTACAATGCTCAGTAATCTGCAAAACGTTGGAGTTGAGGTGAACGTAAACATCTAAATCGGTAAAGAACATAACTCGATTTCAGATGAAGTTTCATCACGATTTGAAAATTGTTTTGTAATGAGGGATGTGATATGATTGAGCTGAATCCAGTTGGGAGGTTGAGCAAAGTTCATTTTTTACCGAGACGTAGAAACGCTGTGGTTCGAGAGAGAGAGTGACTCGAGACAACACAAAAGATAGCAAATAAACCAACTCTGCTCCTTAATGCCTCTGCTCTGGTTTATTTTTGCATCAGTAGATTTATAGGGATAACACTAGGCGTTGTTGTCGGTTACTATATTTTTGTAGTGTACTCAGATCTTCAATTTCTTGTATCACTAAAACCCTTAATTTTCTCTAAGAATCAATTTAGATTTTCTATTTACGGGTAATTAAGGCATAATTTAGAGGTATTAAGGGGTTTCCCCCAATAAATTTCGTAAATTTATAATGTCAAAATTTGATAATAAATTAATGATAATTAATTGACTTATTAAAATAAATACTTTCTTCATTTTTATTTTATAAAAAAATGTTTTTAATTTGTGTAATAAAGTATTTATTAATTACTTTTGTTGAATTAAAAATGGTATTAATATTTTAAATTCGTATATTAATTAGTTAACTTTAGAACGAATCTTATTTATAAATATTTATAATGAGTTGTCTGATTAAAATTGTTTATTAATACTAATTTTGATTAATTCAATATTCTAAATTTGAATACTAACATAAATGTTTCAAGAATGTTTCATAAATGTTTCAAGAATGTTTCCAACTTTATTGGCTCGAGAGATTTCTCCCTTGAGGTCCCTTCCATGTCGTTTATAGGGTCGGTATAAATGGAAGCCATTGCTCCCTAAACATTCATCGTTCTCCATATATGAATTTCAATCCAATCCTACCATTTCATTACATGAATGTTAAATTATAAGTTTGGTCTTATTTACGTTTTGAACTTTAAAAAGTATTTAATAGATTCTTAAAATTTTAATTTTGTGTTCAATATAAATCTTTAAAATTTTCAATTTTGTATCGGTTAATTCTCGGTTTTCTTGTTTGTGTCTACCTGCCTATTCAATTCATGTACAAATTCTAGAGATAAATTGTGAGGGGTATGTGGCTAGAATCAAGAATTAAAATATTGATCTCAAGATCAAATTCTACGAGTATAACAATGAACAAATATTCCAAAACAGGTCAATTTGCAAATTAGAAAGTCCAAAACCATAGTCCAAAGATTAAATACACAAGTTTCAGCTCTTAAATCTTATATTCCTACCATGCTCAGTAATCTACAAAATGTTTGGCGTAGAGATGAACGTAAATATGATTGGATTAAACCAGTGAAGAACGTACCTGGTTGGGAGTTCAAAAGAACCCTTCTTTTTCAGGACATTGAGACATTGAGACGCTGTCTTACAAGAGACTTGGATGACACCTGAGATAGCATGAATGATTTTTCTTATCAGAAACTGAGCTTTCAAAATACAAAAAACGGTAAAGATGGCAAGAACTAAGATCTTTACTGTTTTTGAGTTTTAGCAAATTCTCTAGCTCTGCTCCTTGATGCTGCAGCTCCTGTTTAGTTTTGAATCAGTAGAATTTTAGGCATAACATTACTATCAGTTACTAAATTTTAATTCTTTTATGATTGAAAGAGATATTCAATGGCATTATTGTTGTTACCTCTGGCAGAAACGATCAAATGAAATCGCTGGTAGTTCTTCCTCCATTTCTTCTGTTCTCTGTGTTGAGTGTGTTGAGGATTGTTGGGAGGGAGTCCCACATTGGCTGATTTAAAGAATGATCATGAATTTATAAGTAAGGAATACATCTCCATTGGTATGAGGCATTTTGGGAAAGTCCAAAGCAAAGCCATGAGAGCTTATGCTTTAAGTGGACGATATTATACCATTGTGGAGGGTCGTGGTTCTTCGAAAACACAAGAAGATCATGAACCACCTGAATTTTTACAGCTGCACAAACTCAGATCCCCATTGGTGTGACCTAACAAACTGTCTCCCCTTACCCCAATCAACATAAGGAAATGAAAGATTGTTCTTGATAGAAAGCGTAAACTTAGTGGAATGATTCGAGTTTAGGATACTGAAATGAGTCCCAACCATTGTTTTGGAAGCATGATGTTCTTCCTTTCGCTTACCATCCTTGAATCAACGGCAAGACATATGGTACCGACTGATGTTGGCTTCACTGCACGTTTGATTCACCGTGACTCACCATTGTCACCATTTTACAATCATGTCATGACAAACACTGCACGGATCGAGGCGACCGTTCATCGTTCTAGGTCCCGGCTGAATTATCTGTATTACAACATGTTATCAAGAAAAACATTAGACAATGATTTGTCGCTCTCACCCACATTGGTTCATGAAGGTGGTGAGTACCTTATGAGTTTCAACATTGGAAATCCTTCAAGTCAAGTGATGGGATTTGCAGACACATCAAATGGTCTTATTTGGGTGCAATGCTCAGACTGCAATAGCCACTGTGATGCAGAAAAAGGCCCCTTCACCAAGTTGCTCCCTTCCAAATCCTTCACCTATGAGATGGAGCCATGTGGCTCTAACGTTTGCAATTCCTTAACTGGCTTCCAGACCTGCAATTCATCAGACAGATGGTGCAAATATAGATTAGTGTATGAAGATAACTCTGAAACAAGTGGAACTCTTTCATCTGATAGTTTTAGTTTTGATACCACAGATGGTAAACATGTGGATGTTGGCTATTTGAACTTTGGCTGTTCAGAAGCTCCTTTAACAGGAGGCATGCAGAGTTACATGGGCAGTGTGGGCTTGAACCAAACACCCCTGTCACTAATTTCTCAATTGGGTATCAAGAAATTCTCCTACTGCTTAGTTCCTTTCAATTTAGGCTCAACAAGTAAAATGTATTTCGGATCATTACCTGTGACTTCTGGGGGTCAAACTCCTCTGTTATATCCCAATTCAGATGCTTATTATGTGAAGGTTCTCGGAATCAGCGTCGGCGCTGATGATCCCAACTTGGATGGAGTTTTTGATGTATATGATGTCAGAGATGGGTGGATCATAGATTCAGGAACAACATACTCAAGTCTTGAAACAGATGCATTTGATCGTTTGCTAGCTAAATTCAATACACTACCAGAGTTACAGCAGAAAAAAGAGGACCCTAGAAACAGATTCGAGTTGTGTTTTGCAGCAAATGCAAATGATATGGAGACATTTCCAGATGTTACAGTTCATTTAGATGGTGCAGAATTAATTCTTAATGTAGAAAGTACCTTTGTGAAGATAGAGGATGATGGAATTATCTGCCTTGCCCTTCTGCGCTCTGGATCTCCAGTTTCTATATTAGGGAACTTTCAGCTGCAAAACTACCATGTTGGGTATGACCTTGAAGCTCAAGTTGTTTCCTTTGCTCCTGTTGACTGTGCTGATTCCTAACCATTAGACAGTGCTTCCTCCTGTGGGTCTGTGGAATCTCTTGCAACAACATATTTTTATGACCAAATTCATAATTTGGTTTCATACAAGCAAAATATCAACCCCTTTGTTAAAAATTTCTCAATTCAATTCGAGCTAGCTCGGTAGATAGGACACTAATGCACCAATGATCATCGTAAAGATCAATTGATCGATCTTTACTCTACAATTGTTGAACAAAAAAGGAACAGTGTAGAGAGAGCAGGGATGCTTTCTTGCCAGATGAAAGTTATATTTAGAATCAAAAGATGTAGAACACGATGTTAATTATTATTCAATGACGTGATTTTGAAGCAAAATCCAAAAGATATATGACCATGGTATTATATTCTTTCAAATTCTAGTTCTGTAGAAGCATTAAACATCCCTCTCGTAGTAAATAAGAAGGCAAGAATCTCGTGAACAATGGAGGTTTATTACTTCTTTAAGCTTAGGATATCGTTTCTAATCTGCTCTATGGTGTTCTCTACGTAACCATGTACAGAAGCTGTGACAGTTAAAGTTAAATTGCCATGGCTGACTGCAACATTCGCTGCTAGAACTTCAGCCTGGTGTCTTTCAAACGCCATTAAAATCTGTGTCACCATACCTCGTCGAACAGAAGCAAAAATAATCCCAAACAACACGATGTTGCTGGAGACCGAGACGATGACGCCGCCCCCTGGTGAATCCGAGTTCGTACTAGGAAGCATCGTCACCGATTCCAATGGTTTCTTCTCCATTTCCAGCCTCATCAACTGCTTCTGTAGATCCTCGATGAACTGGATCGTCTCGGAAACAATAGTCTCCCTCGTAGCCTGATTATTTCAGCACCAAAACTGGATTATAAAAATGTAGAAGTAGCCAGATTATACACTACAGCGAGAATCAAATCCACTAACCTTAGGAGAGAGATTCGGGACGAGAGATTGAAGAACATCGAAACTCTCACTCATCTCCTTCCTCTTCTCTCTCCCCTTCCTCTGTACACCGCCGTTGGCTTCCAGAGCTCTCCGACGCTTTCTTGAGGTCGAAGCCTTGTTTTCAGCAGCTTCAGACTGATGCACCGGCAATATGTGAGGCAAAAGTGAAACCACAGAGTCGGTGCATGCCTCCATTACTACAAATCGAAGGTTGCCAATCTTCTTCCCGCCGTCTTCTTGTTCGTTCTCCCTCTATTCTGCCATTGATGAGGGCTAGGTTGCCAATCTTCTTCCCGCCGTCTTCTTGTTCGTTCTCCCTCTATTCTGCCATTGATGAGGGCTTTTATGCAGCAATGAAAATGGTTGCAGGATGTGCGTGAGAGAGAGAGAGAGAGAGAGAGAGATTGGTCTGAAGTGGAAGAAGAAATGCGTTGCAGTTAGAACAATNAAGGTTGCCAATCTTCTTCCCGCCGTCTTCTTGTTCGTTCTCCCTCTATTCTGCCATTGATGAGGGCTTTTATGCAGCAATGAAAATGGTTGCAGGATGTGCGTGAGAGAGAGAGAGAGAGAGAGAGATTGGTCTGAAGTGGAAGAAGAAATGCGTTGCAGTTAGAACAATNGGGCTTGAACCAAACACCCCTGTCACTAATTTCTCAATTGGGTATCAAGAAATTCTCCTACTGCTTAGTTCCTTTCAATTTAGGCTCAACAAGTAAAATGTATTTCGGATCATTACCTGTGACTTCTGGGGGTCAAACTCCTCTGTTATATCCCAATTCAGATGCTTATTATGTGAAGGTTCTCGGAATCAGCGTCGGCGCTGATGATCCCAACTTGGATGGAGTTTTTGATGTATATGATGTCAGAGATGGGTGGATCATAGATTCAGGAACAACATACTCAAGTCTTGAAACAGATGCATTTGATCGTTTGCTAGCTAAATTCAATACACTACCAGAGTTACAGCAGAAAAAAGAGGACCCTAGAAACAGATTCGAGTTGTGTTTTGCAGCAAATGCAAATGATATGGAGACATTTCCAGATGTTACAGTTCATTTAGATGGTGCAGAATTAATTCTTAATGTAGAAAGTACCTTTGTGAAGATAGAGGATGATGGAATTATCTGCCTTGCCCTTCTGCGCTCTGGATCTCCAGTTTCTATATTAGGGAACTTTCAGCTGCAAAACTACCATGTTGGGTATGACCTTGAAGCTCAAGTTGTTTCCTTTGCTCCTGTTGACTGTGCTGATTCCTAACCATTAGACAGTGCTTCCTCCTGTGGGTCTGTGGAATCTCTTGCAACAACATATTTTTATGACCAAATTCATAATTTGGTTTCATACAAGCAAAATATCAACCCCTTTGTTAAAAATTTCTCAATTCAATTCGAGCTAGCTCGGTAGATAGGACACTAATGCACCAATGATCATCGTAAAGATCAATTGATCGATCTTTACTCTACAATTGTTGAACAAAAAAGGAACAGTGTAGAGAGAGCAGGGATGCTTTCTTGCCAGATGAAAGTTATATTTAGAATCAAAAGATGTAGAACACGATGTTAATTATTATTCAATGACGTGATTTTGAAGCAAAATCCAAAAGATATATGACCATGGTATTATATTCTTTCAAATTCTAGTTCTGTAGAAGCATTAAACATCCCTCTCGTAGTAAATAAGAAGGCAAGAATCTCGTGAACAATGGAGGTTTATTACTTCTTTAAGCTTAGGATATCGTTTCTAATCTGCTCTATGGTGTTCTCTACGTAACCATGTACAGAAGCTGTGACAGTTAAAGTTAAATTGCCATGGCTGACTGCAACATTCGCTGCTAGAACTTCAGCCTGGTGTCTTTCAAACGCCATTAAAATCTGTGTCACCATACCTCGTCGAACAGAAGCAAAAATAATCCCAAACAACACGATGTTGCTGGAGACCGAGACGATGACGCCGCCCCCTGGTGAATCCGAGTTCGTACTAGGAAGCATCGTCACCGATTCCAATGGTTTCTTCTCCATTTCCAGCCTCATCAACTGCTTCTGTAGATCCTCGATGAACTGGATCGTCTCGGAAACAATAGTCTCCCTCGTAGCCTGATTATTTCAGCACCAAAACTGGATTATAAAAATGTAGAAGTAGCCAGATTATACACTACAGCGAGAATCAAATCCACTAACCTTAGGAGAGAGATTCGGGACGAGAGATTGAAGAACATCGAAACTCTCACTCATCTCCTTCCTCTTCTCTCTCCCCTTCCTCTGTACACCGCCGTTGGCTTCCAGAGCTCTCCGACGCTTTCTTGAGGTCGAAGCCTTGTTTTCAGCAGCTTCAGACTGATGCACCGGCAATATGTGAGGCAAAAGTGAAACCACAGAGTCGGTGCATGCCTCCATTACTACAAATCGAAGGTTGCCAATCTTCTTCCCGCCGTCTTCTTGTTCGTTCTCCCTCTATTCTGCCATTGATGAGGGCTTTTATGCAGCAATGAAAATGGTTGCAGGATGTGCGTGAGAGAGAGAGAGAGAGAGAGAGAGATTGGTCTGAAGTGGAAGAAGAAATGCGTTGCAGTTAGAACAATATTTTGCAGAGCGAAGAAAGAGATTATGATTTAAAATTCCAACTCCCAATTTTACAGTTTCGACTCGCCAATTCTCTGTTTCTTCATTGTACTTTTTTTCTCTTTTCATTTTCGTCCTTCATTTTTTATTTTATCACCATTTATTCCCATCATTTCTAGAAATTATAATTTATGTCCTCCATTTTTTATTTTATCACGATTTATTTCCCATCCTTTCTAAAAATTATAATTTAGCTCTTATATTTTAAAATTTATAAATATTCCCCTACTTTCTAGAAATTATAATTTAGCTCTTATATTTTAAAATTTACGAATGTACCGTACTTGTCTAAAAATTATAATTTAGCTCTTATATTTTAAAATTTACGAATGTCCCGTACTTTCTAGAAATTATAATTTAGCTCTTATATTTTAAAATTTATGAATGTCTCATACTTTCTATAAATTATAATTTAGCTTTTATATTTTAAAATTTACGAATGTGAGGACTTTATCGAGGTTGAGTTAAAAAAATCTCTTGAACTAACTCGAAATTTCAAATTGATTAGATCGATAACGGAACAATTCAAATAAAGTTTACAACTCATCCCAAGTTTTTTTTTTTTCGGGTTGGATTTAGTTGAATTGTCGAATTAATTTTTTTTAATAATTTTTAAAAAAAATAAATAATGCACGTAATATTAATAACTAAAATCTCATAAAATTTTAATATAAAATATTCATTAGTCACCACGCATCACTAATATTGATTATAAACGTCAAATGTTTTTAGTTTTCATAATAATCTTAGAAATGAGGTTAGGTTGGAATATAGCTTTACTTTTTAGTTGATCAGGTTCACCCGACAAAACAATGTCAACTCGTAAGTCAAAATCCAACCCAAATCCATTCAAATTGGTCCGTTCTTAAACACCTTAAATATTATCAAATTATATAAATATTTATCAAATTTATCAATAAAAATTATAAATTTATAATATATTCATTTTTTTGAAAATAATTAATGACATATAATTAAATTTTATATTTTATAAGTGTGTCAAATAAATTTATAATTTTTTTAAAATGTGAAATAGTTTAAAAGTCAATGTATAAATTTATTGATTATATTTTTAAAATTAAAAAATTTATTAAACATAAAATTAAATTTATAAACATATTAGAACTTTTTTAAAAGTTAGATATTTATTTAATACAAATCTCAAAGACTAACAATTTCACGTAAATATTAAATTACAAATTTAGTCATCAGCTTTTAAAATTATCATTTACTTCAGTTTGAGAGGGAGGGGTAAATAAAATATTTCACATAAATAGTCTCCTTCGGCTGCTACAAGCGTTATAAATAAGCCCAATTAGCTTTAAAATGGGCCGTGAGGAAATTTAGAAACAAAGCCAAAGCCCATTTAGATGTACTGTGAAGAAGCTTAAAAACAGGCCCAAATTCCGGCCCATTTAACTGGGCCTTTTCTGGAGGCCCACAGTAGCCAACACAACTAGCAACATAAATACTACAGCTCCAGCAAGAGAGAGCACAGTAGAGGCTGCCACTTGTATGCAAAATCTACCATATATGTCACACACTTTATTCCATTGCACGTGTGAGTTTCCGTGGTAAGCGATGACTCCGACCGCCGCTGCAGCTCCGCTACTGGAGAAAAGCAGTGCCACCATGACCGTGTCGAGAATGATGACCAATAAGATTAAGATGTTGTCGTTACTCGTGTCTTTTAACAAAAAGAACAATGATATGAAGCTATACGAACATGCTATTATATTTGTCGCCAAAAGATACCTAAAAAAAATATAATATACTTAAAATCATGAAATTATTAAAAAAATACCGCTTAATTTTCTTATACGTGATTATGGGTCAGAAAAACCACAACTCTCAGTGTCTATAACGTTCATAAATAATCAAACAGGCATATTTGAATTAGTTACAGCTTGACCAACAGGCTAACCGTTTGAATCTCTACCTATGTGAAATTAAACTCAAAAGGGAAAAAACAGGTAGATGTTCGAATTCTCGAGAGAGAGAGAAGCTTACCCGAGAGCAGATAAGTAATACCATTTAGCTGTGAGAGTAAAATCGAGAGGAGGGAGGTCGAGGGAGAGCGTAAGAGGAAGAATCGTGGTTTGTTCGTTGAGTCCCACGACAATGGCTGCCACAAAACACAACACGAATCCCGAAACCCTAAAAACCATTTCAATTTTACTGCCCATTTTCTTCTCCTCTTTCCTCTCATCTTCCATTCTCACTCTTGATCTCCCCCCACCTCCATTTTCTCTCTCTCTCTATATATATATATGTGTGTATATATATATATATATAAATGAATTAATGAATTAACAGAGAGGTAGTTCAATTCTTAATTATGGGGGTATTTGTGGAAACAAAAAATCCCTCCCAAACTTATGGAAGCCTTCGCATTGGGCCCCACTTCCTCATTAGGGGTAGTTTGGTAATTATATATATGTTTGAAAATTATTAAATAAAATTATTAATTGATTCAACCAATAAGATTTATTGATGTAAAATGATTGAGAATTTGAATATTATTTAATAGATAAGTTACGGATTACTATTTTAAAAGTGGGTAATTTAATTAATATATTAATTTTTTAAGAAAAGAAAAAAAAGGGGGAAAAAAAAAACATGTCAGAGGACTGTCAAATACTTGTCAGACAGTCCATTGTCGTTTATGATAGGGTTGAAGAGCTCCATTTGAATTTCACTTTGGTTACATTAAATTGAGAGGAATGGCAGGCACCCAATAATTGAATTGGAGACAGACACAGAAGTATTTCACAAATGCTTACGTGTCATATACAAATAATAAAATATATTATTTTTTAACGATACGGGTCAAACATATAACCTCGATTACATACACTCGATGGGTTTCTCGACTACTGTTAGACTAGGATGAATGGAACCGACCCATTTTAATTGATCGATTTGGTGAGCCGAAGATTGAAGCCATTTCTAGAACTTCTACTAATGATAGGAAGATTTGACACTGAACTTCTACCCGTGCATGCACGCACCTACCATAGCTACGTTGAGTGAACGGAAGAGCTACCATTGTGGACGCACATTCTTCCTCTACAGATGATCATTTTTACCCGACGTTAATTCTCTCTTATTTTATCAAATTGTATCTAAAATTATACTTGATATAAATTATAAAATTTTCTACAAATTAAAAAAAAAAAACAAAGTCGGGTAAAGAACGTGACAAAATTATTAAATCAAAATATGATCGAATATTTTAAATTAAATTAATTATATATTTAATGTTGTTTTGAAAGAACTTGTAAGTTAGTGGCAATGATTATAAAAGATATAGATTGAGAAATAAACTTAATAGATATTAAGAATTTAAATACAATATATTCCAAAAAAAAAATCCTTTAAAAAATCTTAATTTTTTATTTTAATATTTACAAAGGAATTAAATAATAAAAAAAACACGTAATTTCAATGGTAGTTGCCGTAGGTGATCAGGTTTTGACTTGATGGTAATGAAAAATAAAGATAAAAAATAATAATAATAATAATTATAGATAATTTAAATAATTTTATTTAGAGGATAAATCAAATATCATTTTCAAATTATAATTACTTGCAAAACAATCCTTTGATTTTTAATATAATTTTTAAAAGGTTTATCTTTCGTTTCCCACTTATTATTATTATTTTATTCAGTTTATTCAACTCAGAGAAAAACCAACCACCAACCGTCAAAGAGGTGCTTGGTTGTGAAGATATTGTCAATCATTTTGTGATTATCTCACTCTCATTCTTTAATAATATGAATATAATTTTAATTAATTTTATATTTTTTAATTCAAGTTGGGGAAATTTGGTCAATAAAACTTGCTTTAATTATTTATTTGCTTAGGTAAGAATAAAAAAAAAAAATCCAAAATTTTAATATGGCAACCCAGAGCCATTAAAGCAATGCATAGAACTATAATTTGACAATTCCATCGTGTTATGAGCGAATAATTTTAAAGAAATGGTAAAATATGAGTCAGAATTCTCGAGAATCTCTCTATTACCGGGAAACCTACAGAAGTCAAAATGAGAGGAGCAGGGGGCGTGACAAGAAACGGCTCGAAAGAAAGCTATTTTGGTTCCTAATGTTTCTCCACAACTAACAAGATGCATCAACCTCGTGACCTTAGGTTCAATATTGATGTGTATTTGAAATTCTTATACCAAAATAGAACCGAACTTGAAGAACATATATATCTATATATACATACATATATTTACATATATATATATATATATATATATATATATATATATATGAAAAACGAGGTGATCCCATCTTAATTTTATAGCTTTCTTGGACACCAACTAACTTTTTAATGCAAGAATATCCATACAACGAGGCTCAAAATCTCTCTTTCTCTCTCATTGGACTTTCTTTAAAAAAAATTATAAAAAAAAAATCCAAAAAATCTGACTATATTATATATTTAATCACAAAATGGATGTCAGAAATTTCCTAGTTTCATACACAAAATTTGACAATTTTGAACCTTAAAATATTGTCTAAATTATCTAAAAGGTTCCTAAATTTGCATTTTAAGCTTTTAAAAAAATATTTAAAAAATTCTAACAATTTTTTAAAGTTATTCCTGAACTTTCAAAAAGTTGTATTAATATGAAAATAACTTTTATTTTCTTAAAATTATTATATTTAAGAATAGAACTATTAATAAAAATATTAATTTAATGGCAGTTTTCGTATATTTTTGGAAATATATATATATATATATTTTATATAATTTAAAGAATGATATAATAAATTAATCTGCGTCCACATTTCACTTGGCGTGCAGGAAACTCCAACCAAACTAATCCATTTCTCAAATCCTAATAACTATATATATACACACAATACACCCAAGTTTCCTGTCGTTCTTAATTACATTAATTTTTCTTTTTTCAAACTAATTCCATTCCTTTTCCCATAATGGCCTCAGCCGAGCCGGAATCTGCCAAGGAGGCACCGCCGCCTCCGCCCTCTACCGCTCCCCGAGG